ATATTCAAACCATACGCCTCAGCCTTTCTCCTGACGTAGCTCCGCGTCCGTCCATGATCCCAACTTACCGGTGCTTAGTAGGGAGTGCCCCTTAGGGTCCACGTACCCAACAATTAGGTACTTGGGTTTTGAGTAATAGTAATTATCGTGTACGTTTTGGGTATAAGTATATGATTATTAGGTACTTGGACTCTTAGGGTACGGGGATATGATCCCTTTGCAATCCCTACATAACCTCTTCCCTTGTTCCCTACCAATCCTTAACCCTAAACCAGAATCCCTACAGAATCCTCATTCAACACATTGCCTTATTCGCTACTAACCTTAGTAAGCCGAGTATGGAACAGAAGGCACCAATAACCAAGATCTCGCTACCTTACTGGGGGTAACTGCACAGGGAAAATGGAATGTATGATATAGTGATAATATAGGGTTTTTTCTTCCTTTATTCCCTAGTAGCCCCGCGCAAAACAAGCTTTCTAGAGAGCGATCCTTTCCCATCATTTCACGCAAGCAGCCTCACTGTATTTGAAAAAATGTTCAAGCGCAGGGGAAAAGCGGAACCCTAAAACCCTGACTCATCCTAAATCCTAGACCCTACGCCCTGTATCCTAAACCCTAAACCCTAGACCCAGGGAGTTTGATTCATTTGAAGCACACGTCAGGGTGGCCTCAGGTGGATCGGTTTCTTGAGCAGCGGCTGTGGAGGCCACCGCCTGGGCGTGCACAGGCGAATCGGGTTTCGTGAGTTGGCTGAAACACGGCTTAGGGCTCAGGGTTTAAAGGCTTACGGTGTAGGTTTTAGGGTATAGGGCCTAAGGTTTACGGTTTAATTAAGATGTAACCCCAACTGTATCTGCACATCTACATCTATATATATATATACATGATTTGTGTCAAGGCTACGGGGCTTCAGGTGATTGAAAATGTTCAGCACCTTGACCCTCCAAGTAAACCCTAAACCCTAATACCCAAATCCCCAAACCTTAAACCCTAATCCCCAAACCCTAAACTCTATAAACCCTAAACCCTCAAGCCTGATCCCAAATCCCCAAACCTTAAACCCTAATCCCCGAACCCTAAACCCTATAAACCCTAAACCCCGTCACCGAAGTTTAGGCTTTCAGGTCTTCAAGATGCGCGGCTGAGCGTGTCAGTGTTCTAAAGGGGCTACATACAACCTTTTTTCATAACTCGGATAGGAAACACCTCCAGCAAGGTTTAGGCTTTAGGCTTTAGGGTTTAGGTTTTGGGGTTTAAGGTTTAGGCTTCAGGGTTTAGGCTTTGGGCTTTAGGATTTAGGGTTTGCCAACTGCGGATGTCCTATTCAACAGCTCTAGCTTAGAATCTGCACGAGTGTGGTGGCATTCAATTTGAAGTCATGGCCCCCATGTTGGACACCATATATATATATACACGTGTATATACTTACCAATGTTCCTAAGAAATCCTACAAACACTCCCCGTACACCAAAATGTAGGCAGTACTTCATGTGAAACTGCCAGTGGGAGATATGGTTCACATCCATGCCATCGTAGACAGCCCAGTTGCCCGCGCACGAGCAAAAGTGATTTCCACAGCTACTAGCCCCTTAATAGAGCCACTTTAATTTTTAGGGGGGGGAATGACCCGAACCATGGCACTTTGGTCGCGTATCAGTTGCCTGGCGTTTAGAGCACTTGGAAATTATGTGTAAAAAGGGTCCTTACAAATCATGAAGCCCGTACTCGAAAATGGCCAAATGGTAGCGTCCATACATAGGGGTTCCCAAATAAACCCTAGCATGCCACATTTCTGAGTGTAGGTACCTGCCCCCACCAAAAAAAACCTAAACCCCAAACCCTAAACCCTAAACTCTAAACCCTAAACCCCTAAACCCTAAACCCTTAACCCTTAAACCCTAAACCCAAAACCCTAAAGGCCTCTAATTCTGGGATTCTCCCAAATATCCCACACGCCAACCCGGATCATCTTCCGGGAGCCACGCCAGCATAGCGAGGCGGAGACACCACGCCATTTCAGAGTTGCTTATTGTGACCCGAAACCTAAGGCCCGAAATAGCCAAATGTAGGTCATATGTGTAGACTTTGGTGCCAAATTTAAATGTTTGGACTTCAGGCCCTAGGGTAGGGATGCAGTATACGCTGACCGTGTACTTTGGGGCTGTTATATGTTGAGTCCTGATTTAGGTTGTTGGGGAGTGTATGATATTCGCATACTTTGGACACTTGGGGTCATGTTTCCCTTGGTCATGGGCCCAGAGTTTTCTCTTTTCCGGATTTAGATAGCAAAGCAAGGATTCGCCTTTGTTTGTGTGTATTGCCTCTTGTTTGCATGGCCTTGTCCTAATCGTTGGCTATGCTTCCGTTGTTTCTTAAGATTCCTTTGAAGGCAAAGATTTTCCTGGTATAGTTCAGGGTTGGGGACTTAAGCTTACAATGCCAAGAACTCTGGAGTCAGCTGTTCGCTCTGTTCTTCCGGCTTGAACCGGTAGACAGTTCATCCGCGTGATAATCATGCAACGAAGGCTTGGGAAATGGGGTGGGGGCTCCCATGCCCTTTCCCCTTGGTTGGCCTTTGGAACCCTTTGAACAATATTAGTACATGGGGTCCTTAGGAAACCATTTAGGGGAAAACAACAGCCAACCTAGACCCTTCTCAGGGGCCTAAATAATTACCACTATCATTTTTGAGATCCATTTGGGGTACCATATACCATAGTTATAAATAGAATATGGAACCATGATATTGGTAATTATTTAGGCCCCTATGTTACACATGGTGCTTGTGGTCCTTTTCAGAGGAGCTCCTTCAATTCAGGGATTTATCAAAGCGGGTTCTGGGTTTAGGGTACTTCTGCGGCTCATTTGAAATGAGGGCAGGGCTCATCGGGAAGCATAAGCCTAAGTTCTTGAGGCCTCAACCTCTCTTTAGGGTTCAGGGTTCAGGGTTTAGGGTATAGAGTTTAGGGCATAGGGTTTAGGGTAGGCTCTTTATGGGCCTTTACTTGCGGGTTGTCAGTAGAGACTACAGGAATGGAAAAGAAGCGGGAAGCTGTTGTGTTCATGTGAATTGTCAAGGGAGTACTGTAGAGATCTATTCCTCCATTCCCCACAACCAACTAGTAAGCTTATCAAGTCTACTCATAGTCACCCTTAAGTAGATAGAATATGCCTTTGGGTAGATTTTTATAAGATCCCTATATACCCCATATTCTATCTACTTAAGGGGACTATAAGCCTCTTGAACACTTAGGTTGCCTCCCTTTCAGAGCTGCGCCGCTGCGCACCATCATGCCAACAATCTCCCAAACTCCACGCAGAACATAACAATCCACCATATACTTCTACACTTGCTCTGCAGTCTGAATCTAACATCTATCCTCACCGGCAGCAAAAAGGCACCCGCCCCGCCCCGGTGGAGACCCCTGCTTCAGAGTACTTGTTTAGGGACGACATGCATGAAGACCCGTACTGACGTAGCGGTACTTGTTCGTTAGACATGCGCGAAGTGCATGATAATCAGCTGCTTGGACCCTGCACCTAATTTAACGACGACCTGAGGCTCCCACAAACTTCTTCCAAGGTATGTATATCATGAAACACTACGGGTAACAGCTTGAGTTGTTCCCTACCCAGACCAAAATGATCCCAGTGTCCGGCCAGTGTCCATTTAGTTTTCTTTGTTCTTTTCCATCTCTTTCTCCAATATTCTGCTTACTCAGACCCTGAAGTGGCCTAAACACTGCACATCCCTACAGAGCCCAACTGATTTTTGTTACGGCCAGATGGTGAAACGTTCACCTCCCCCTGGAGATCTAGTCGACCTAAGGTGAGGTTCAGGTCATTGGTTTAGGGTTTAGGGTTTAGGGTTTTAGGTTCAGGGATCTATAGGGTTTAGGGTGTTTAGGCTCAGTTTTTTTCTTTTTTTTCTTAAGTTGGGGGCTGCAGACCTCGTTTTAGGATTCGTCGTTTAGGCTATCATAATAAACCACATTGGGAATATGTAATATTGCGGAGTTGGGGGATTTTGTTTCTTCGGGGAGGGGGAATAGTTTGAGATACGCACTGAAATCCTAACCCATATAAGCCCTCTCTCAACTCAACTCCTGCAGGTCCACTAGGTTTAGAGTTTAGGGTTGAGGGTTTAGAGCTTAGGGTTTCTGGGGCTTAGCGTTTAGGGTTCAGGCACCTTGCCTGGACCCATGTTGGACGTACTAAAGACCCAACGCTAGAATGCCAAAACGCGTTCAATCCCAAAACACAAGCCCCAAACTCCAGAGAGGGTCTAGACTTAGACCTGCAACGGCTCAGATTGGAAATGTCTTTGGTGGTAGAACCAGGTGAACTTATATACTTCTTGTACGCTGTTCTAGTGCTTTGAATTTGCAAAATTTCGGTTTAGGGTTCTAATCTACCTGAATACTGGGCACAATAATAGCCCCATTAAATGCTAATACTCTATTGCATGGTCCGAGTGCCCCGTGATGTTGATGCTCGCTCTGTTTGAGGTACCAATAGCATGCTTACACAAGGAATCTGAAACCATACCCTAAGGGTCCAAGGACCCAGATAATGGGGTTCTAGGGTTCAAATACCACTGATGTTATAATACTTGGACCCTAAAACCATATTATTTGGGTCCTTGGACCCTTAGGGATACTTTTGGTCCTTCTGAGCAAGTACTATGGGAATATCCAAAGCCTCATATTACTGGGCTTTTGAGACGCCAAGGGTTGGGAAGCCCTAATTAAACCCTAAGCCTCCGTTTTGTAGGGGCCAGAAATAAGCCTTAGAAAGACCTCTAGGACGATCTTCGCGAATCCCTAGTGATGGATCTCGCTTCTAAGGAGCCCATGAGGGTTTAGGGTTTAGGGTTTGACCTCCCGAAATAAGAAACCCTAAAGAAACAGTAGATTCGATTTTCCATTATCCCTATATGTCCACTATATTACCCCTATATAATAGTTTCCAGCTTCTTTTCCATTATCCCTAAGACTTCAGATGTCAGCGTTCATTCGCGGCTTCATCTCGATCTCCAAAGCCCACCTGGAGGTTGCTTTTGCCACACGGTTTAGGGTTTAGGATGGTCTTCTATGACCTTACAAACTGGGGCGCGTAAGGGGCCCTTAGGACAACATAGGGACTACGAGTACAAAGCAGTCTAAGGGTCCTGATTAGGGATCCTAGAAGGAAATACCCCTACAAACGCCCCAAGTAACAACGAAACAATATGTAAACCCTAAATCCTGAAACTCTAGTTGGGCGCGAACCCTGAATCCTCAGCCCTAGATAGCGCCTTCTTAGCGTGCCGCTCACCTGCGTAGCTACAGCCCTTGATCCCAGGACTAAAAGGAGTTTGTCCTTTTTTGAAGATAGGTTAGGGGTTATAAAGAATACGGCCCCCCCCAAAAAAGGGAATGCTGTTTATGATAGGGTTTAGGGTTCAAGGTGAGTATAAAAAGCTTAGGACCCCAAAAGGCACAATGGGCTTACCCAAAACCCATGTGTGGGACCTTGACTTGACGGAAGCCCTGCGAAGCGGTCCGGGTATGAATATAATGGGTACCCAGTACTCTGCCCAGAGGATCTTGTGACTTAGTAAGTCCACCTACCATCCCTAATAGCCCTTATTATAAGCCCCATAACACCTGTCCTTCAGTAGACTTATGAAGTCAGGAGGCCCTCCAAGTAAGCGAGACGAGTGCCTTTACAGATACCCTACCCAAGGGCTGCTACCTATCTTTTTTGGGGGTTTGTTATAGTTTGATGTTACGGGATTTTTGTATACTACCCAAAAAAAGAAATATGTTGAAGGTTCTGGGTAACCATCCCAAGACTGTAAATAACATAAACTCCTTGTTTTGAATAGGAAACTCCTTACTAATCGAGGTTTTTGAATGCTGAGGGATAAGGGCGGCCAAAATGAGAATATGTGTATAGAAAATACATAATACAAATACATACTCTTTCTTTGATCCCACGATTCAAAAAGGGTAGAAACCCCATCAACTCTTTAAGCGCTTCATGAGTTTGTGCATTCGAAAAATCTCGGTCAAAGGACCGGCAACCTCATTGAGGTGTGGCAGGGTTTCAACGCACACAAAAACACACCACCGGCTAAGATACCGCTACGAAACCCTGCACACTCCCGTACAGCACTCACTTGCTATTTCATGTTCCCTTTCTTTCCCATTTGCCTCTCTCCACTATAGTGGATATTCTTCAACTTCCTTTACCTGTAGTTGCTTTCTGCAATTTTCCCAGGTCTGTGCAGATTCTGTGTGCGCGAAATTGCAGCGAGCTTCTGGCAAAATAGGTTTCAGGTTCAGGCGACTAGTGCGTAGCCGTAGGGATCCAAATAGCGTGAAGTAGGCACTCTTGATAGACTTTAGTGCCCAAAGTAGGTATCAGTTCATTTATGTTCGTTGTAGGCTGTCTGGGCTACTGATCACTGGAAAGTTGCTGAGCGCGCTATCGCTTTCTAGCTTTTTGGGCTATGTGTTGATGTCATTGCTTTGGATGAGTGGGGTACCCCTTTTTAATCAACAACCCTTCCTCTGGAACCCAATGTCCATCCTTATATACCTATGACCGATCAACAAAAAACGCACGTCATTTACAGACTTGGATGCGCCGCCGAGTCAGTTATCCAAGACATCTCCCTGCAGCAGGGCGTCATGTTGATACAACTTCATTACCTTAAAGGTCCAAGTACCCAATAACTATATACTTATTCAAAACCTGTACTACAGTTACTAGTACCAAAGCCTCCACTACCCAATCATTGAGTACATGGACCCTTAGGGTTACCGGGCTTCGTCAAGACACAGGCAACTCCCTGTAAGGTGCTGCATGACTCTAAACCCTAAACCCTACACCCTAAACCCTCAGATCTACCTTGGGGATGCAAGTCTGCAGAGAACATCTAGGGTTTAGGGTTCAGGGGTTTGCGGTTTAGGACCTAATTCGGGCTCTCAAGTGTATGAATGGTACCTACTTTGGGCTATTGGGATCCCTAAGGCTAGTGGAGATCTAGGCAAATTGGACGACCTATGCTCTGTAGCTTCCTTAGACCTACAACAGAAATGTATTTCAAATATTTCCTTAGGGTTATACTCTAAGAAAAACTAGAAATAAATCCCAAGGACAGTACAGTGCTGTGTAGGTATGCACAAAAGCATGCAAGACGTTCAAAGCACAGCCATTAAAACACAACTGTTCAAGAAATCTTGTTGTGTTTGTGACACCTACCCATGGTGTTGCAAAACCCCTTGAGTCCCTCAAGGAACGCTGGCGGCCTCAGAATTTTCATGCACACATAGAAGCGCTCTTGCTCATACCTTGGCAATGGGGGCATGCAAGGACGTAGGGCTTAAACATGCGGATCTCAGGTTTGGATGGCTCCATCTGACCTTTTGGATGCATATGACCCCATTATAGTCGTTTCCGCTTTCTTTTCCATTATCCCTATATAACCCCAATATAACCCCTCTATAACCCGAAAGGCAACAGGACTACCTTAGACTGAACACATCGTACTCGGAGTTTTTGGAAGCATCTCGGAAGTTTTGAGTTGAAACCAAGATTAAGGGTTCTTCAAATGTAATAAGAAGAAGGGTGAAGACCATGTAACAAGGTATGTAAGGAACTTGACATATTTTATGAGGTTCAAATACCAAGTAGGACACTAGAATGCAATAGAACACTGCAGGCATGTCCCTACTCTAATCTTGAGGAGGCATGGGCCTCTGTTTTCGCCTGCAAAACCATACATGTAGACATGTAAGCACAGACCATGAAGACATGCCCCTAAACCCTAAACCCTAAACCCTCCCCTTCTTAGCCCTAGCTGCATAAAACTCCGATCCTTTACCCTACATCAATAAGTAGCGGCGCTCCTGAGCCTGTACTACAAATCATTCCTACTATTATTACTAGTATTATTACTACTATTATTCCTGGTACTATTAATACTACTATTATTACTATTCTTATTACTATTACTACTACTATTCCTATTCCTATTATTATTATTATTACCATTACGACTATTATTATTGCTATAAGATCATATTGTCCTCAAACCTGATTGCAGCAACAAGGGACATCATGCCACGCGACACATCGACTGGGCATCCACGTCAGCTCTCAACCCCACTGTAAACTGGGAACCCTACACCCTAAACCCCAAATTCTTACACATGTAAATTCCTACGCTACAGAGTCTCCACCCAAGTTCTTTAACCTAGACTTAAGGTTATTCCCCCTACCAGTAACTGTCCTTAAAGGGGGCCATATTAGACATTTAGGGTTTAGGGTTTAGGGCTCCATTGTGGTAACTGAGAACCTGGCTGCTGTGGCAAAAGCAGTACCAGCACTTCTTGGTCCTGTGGAAGGCCAGGGGCTTCTCTTTATCTAGGGTTTAGGGTTTAGGGGTTTAGGGGTATAGGGTTTAGGGTTATTTCTAAGGTACCCTGAACCCTAAATCCACTTCTGAAGGGTTATAGGGGAGATGAAAGGGCTCTGCAAGGAAATATAGCCCTAGGGGTCCATGTACCCAATAATTAGGTCCCTTTTAAGGGGATATATAGGGGAATATAGGGTATATGGGGTTTAGGGTTTAGGTTCCATGTGCCCGATAATTATGTACTTGGGTTTCGGGTAATAATGATTATAGTATAGGTTTTGGGTAAGTATATGATTATTAGGTACTTGGACCTTTAGGGTAGGATTTAGTGTTTCCGAAAATTAGGGATATCGTTTCGGGGTTCGCCACAAAAAGCATTACATCAGCCGGTCAAGACTGGGCCCCCTACTTAGGGAAACTGCCAGCTATACGCTAGTGTAGGGACCTAAAGAATTCCCAATATTATGTTGAGGTCCATTTGAGGTATCATATACTCTTATTATACAAGGAATATGGAACCATGATATTGGTAATTATTTTGGCCCCTACTATACGGCACTTTACCTTTTAAAGCTCCGGGTTTGCGCTATACGGGGATACCACTCCTCCAAGACTGGACCCAAACAGACTGACCTCAAGACGGCTGCTACGAACTGAATTTGGGCTATAGTCTAAACTCCCAGTGTCCGCCTTATACCCCCCATAATAATCCCCTATATAATCTCCTATATAAGCCCCTTTAGGGAGTTCAGACTGTGGCTCATATTTGGGGTGCCTTGTATCAGTTGTGAAGGTCAACATTATCTCCATCTGCATGCCGCCTTTGCATCGGCAGGCGACACATCAGCTGACTTCATGCTGAATCCGGTAGACAAATCGCAATCTGCTTGCCGCGGTGGGGGTCATGAATTTCGACTCCTGGAAGTAGAGCATCTGGTCGCCACGCCTAGTAGCTCGGAGTGACTTCAACTTGCTTCGCGTCGCGGCGCATGACTCGCCTCTGATGCTGGGTGCGGGCGACTGAACCGAAATTCCCGAAACTGCAGGGGCTTCTGAAGATACTGGCTTGGTGTAAAGGACCTTAAACTAATCAACTACTATAATAAGGAAACCCTATAAAGGACCATATACCCAGGTTGTGGTAGCTTAATCGAAGTTCCTTCACAGGAACCCAAGATACAGCAAGGTCAGGTTGCAAGGTGGCTGCGTTCATGTCAGTATGACCAAAGCGTGATTCAGGAAACCTGACACTCAAATCCATGACAAGAAGATGCCATAAAGACCACCGCCATCGTCTTGCAGTCCCCATATATGGTAGTTGATCCGTTTCCTGTTTTGCAAAAAGGGCCTTAAGTAAGTTCCCAAAGGAGGCTCTCTTGTGTAAGATCTCACGAGATCATCTGTCCTTCCCACACTCTGATCTCCGGGTTTAGGGCCATATATTAAACTGGCCTCAGAACCCCACTAAACAATATGATTTTGGGTTGTTATTGGGATTATGGTAACCAAAAAAATACAGTTATTTTGGAGGCCCCTATAGTATATGTGAGGGCCGTGAGCTTGCCAGCCACCATGTGGCGGCTTCGGTTTCCTCAAACAGCGACCGTTGCTGATCCAAGGAGGGTGCGTGATTGTAGCCCAGAGGGTCCTTGTACCCAATAATTAGGTACTTGGGTTTTGGCCACCACACAACTCCTAGGCTTCTTGAAGTTCATCCACCTAGAAATAGGAACGCCATAATGCCTCGGCCAATACACCCCAAATTCCCAGCACTAAACACTAAACCCTAATCCCTGAACCCTCATGGCCTGCTTCTGGGACCGATAGAAGAGGGAGACGGCTCGCTTCTTCAGCTGCTCACCCGAGACAGCCTCAAAGATTCAGTGTGCTCCTCCCAAAGTGTCCCAATATATCACCATTACGGAATTAGAGCCCCAAACCCTAAATCTAAAACCCTATGTCCTATCTCCCAGACACAAATAATCATCACATTATAGAAGGAATTATGAGGCCTAATTCACCATGACAAGTATATGTGAACCCTCGGGCCTGTCAAACCTAGTACCTATGAACACCCCCCCCCCCTTTTAGGTTGCGTGATTAGTTTAGAGAGTGTAGGGTTTAGGGAAGGAAATGCCAAAGTCTTAAAAAGGGTTTAGGGCTTCGGGATGTTGGCAGAAGTCTGTATGTGAACCCCCTTCCGCAGTGAATTCGAGTGAGTAGTGGGTTTATAGGCTTGTCGGGCTTATGGGGTTTCGCGTGTTTGGGAACTTTCAGTTGATTGGGTTTACAGGACTTAGGGCTTGGGGTTGGGGATGTTACAGAAAGAGGAGAAGCCCATCCCCCCTGCACCCTAAACACAAGTAGTCTTGAAAGTGTACGGATGCCTGCTGTAGACGGTGCAATCTCAAGCTGCAGGAGAGGTCAGTGTGAGGCCTCGATGGCGAGCCCAAACAGGGTATAGGGCTAACCCTAAACCGCAAAGCCGATGTGTAATGCTTTTCTGCAACAGCGGGGGCTGGGCAGAATGATGTTTAAGAGTCCATTCAAGGGGACTTTGTTTGGAAACGAAGCTAATCTCCTGGAAACGGACCAGTAGTATTCATCAGGTTGCCCGGCAAAATCTGCAAATGCCCCCAGCTACAAAATTAATTAATGGACACCAAAGTATACTCTAATAGGGTTCAGAGTTTAGGGTTTAAACCCTACGCCCTACCGTTCACCAAGATCGCATAGGAAGCTCAGGCCCATGCATGGGGCGGAGGTAAGTCCATTAGCGCGGCGAAGGGTGTACCTCGAAGGTCCTGCGCATGAGGCTTAGGGTACTTATAACCCAACTATACCCATATTGGGTCCTGCGCATGTTCTAATTGGAGGTTCAAGGATATTGCAACCTTTCTGTTATAGCTCAATTATATCTAGCACCTCTAATTCAGATATGACTACAGTAGGGGACTTGGGGGGCTTATAATTGGGATGAGTCCAATTACAATGGAGTTAGAAGTACCCTGAGTCTCCAAGTCCCATATGTTTCCTCATGCATTCCCAATGCTCTTTTGGGGTTCCCCCTTCACGAGGCTTAGACAGGGCTATTTAAGGGAATGAAATGCAGACCTTGAGGAGGGTAGTAAATACAGGGTAGTTTAGGAACCCATGACTCAATGTGATATAAGTAGGGGTTTTATGGGCGTTTATAGTGATGAGGGCTTTGCCTATCCCCAGTTATGGAACATTTAATGGAAAGTGCGCTGGAAACGGGGTCGCTGAAGGGTTTATAAAGATTGTGAAATGTAACCCTAAGGCCCCTAAACCCTAAACCTGGGGGTAATCAGAGACTTGGAGTCTGGGAACAGCTGTTATAATGCAGGCTTGGGGTAGTGTGTGATCATTGAGTACGCGTACCCTCAGGGTATAACAGCTATGTGACCAACACTTTGGTTTCTGGTTGTTGGGCCTTGGTCCAAGGGCCTAAACACCATTTTGAAAGCCCTAAGCCCTAACCGCGTTGCCTCAGGTTTACTGCAAGGCCTGCGCTTGCACGACTTCGGGGTGTAGGGCTCATATCTCGAGGAAACCATACAACTTTTATGATAAGTCTAGCCCTTTAAATTAGGTAGTGGGGGCAGTACCCAACCTATAAACCCTGAGCCCTGACAAAACAACTACATGAGCTATAGTCTAAACTCCTAGCATCCCCGCCAGTAACCCCTAGAATACTCCCCTATATTAACATGATCAATCAATCGCCTATACAACCCCCTATAGGAATTAACACTATAGCTCACATGACCCTACTTGCAGTTTTGGAGGCTGGTCTGGGTCTGCCAGTTCCTCTGTAAACCCATGAAGCCCTACTGTGAGCAATGCCTCAAAAGGTCAGCCAACACCGCAGAAAAATCAGGTTGAATGAGTACTTAATATTCTTTGCTCAGGGCTCTAAACAACAAAGTATACAACACCAACCCAGGAAATTCAAAGCGAGACAAACGAGGACCGCCTCAAACTAGAATGGCAGGATACGCATAATTACTTCGTTCAAAATATAATACTCAACGATAGTAATGCTAATAGCAACAAAAATGACACTTCTACGTGTAGGGCTTCAAAATAAGTGCAGAGTGCTAGTTTGGGAGGTTTGGGTTACTACATGTTACTACATTCCTCTCATTATCCCAGTCACCCCGAACCTGAAACCTACTGGTGGTTCGAAGGGCATGAAAAGAAAGGCTATCCATTTTTTCTGTCCCCTAAGAACCAGCAAGTCAATCATCGGTCCTATATACCATGTTGACTTTTACTTTCTTATCCGTTAGCCATACACTCTTACACAGCCTCACACCGCAACCCTCACACCCTCAACCTGAAACCCTTAAACCCTGAAACACTAAACCCTCAAATCCTAAGCACTGAAACTCGAACACCCTGAAACCTCAAGCCCTGGAGCCCTAAACCATCAAATCTCTGAACCCCCAAACCCTAATACCGTACCAGCCCACCCCCATCTCCCCCCTAAAAAAAAGCGCACACCCATTCACAACCAGAGCCGTCAACCAGTCTCCTTCTTAACCTCGACGACCTGCGCGAGCCTGCGGCCGCGTACAAAGCTTGGAAAGGGCGACTTTCCAAACCTCCCTCCCTAGGTTAGGGTCTAGGGTTTAGGGTTTCAATCATCGCCTATTGAAAGCACCCCCTCCCAAAAACTAATTAATCCCTATATACTATGGTATACCACATGGGAATTTCGAATATATGCGGGGTCAAGGTTTTCATATAAATGGGATGGGACTCACAACCCCCCCCTGAATTAGAGCCACCACTTCCAAAAGGACCGAAAATCCTGGAAGAGTGCCTTTCAAGGGCCAAGAACTCAATTGTGGTAGCTTCTTAATCAAAACTATAGCATGCGACAATCTACTAGAGTTAGTTTAATTGCCTTGTTCCCAAGTTGCAGATGGACCTTTGCAAGGATCCATGCTATACCAATTCGGGCAAGTTCCCGACTCTACTCAGATCCGCAGATTTCAATCAGAACCCTCCGCTGCCAACCCTGAACCCTAAACCTCTTCCGTCCTTACATTATCCCTATAAAGTCCCTGAAATGGCAATCTGTATAGCATATGTGGCACCCCTCGAAGCATGTTTACCTTCTTTCAAGGGTAACCCAAAAACATGTGGGGGGGGGGGTTGGTCAGTCTCGGCTTTCATTATCATCGTTAAGTACTCTGACACTTTTAAACCTCAAGCTCCTCTTCCCAAAGAATATTTGGTAGTTTCCCAAAATGAGGGGACCCCAATATAGAGCCCAAAAAGTAAAATCCCTAAGATGGGGACCCCCAAAAGGGTACCCAAAACTTTTGGGAACCCTCCAGTTGTTTTGGATCTTCACACCACCAAACAGTACGAACTCCGGCAGAGCCGCATTAACCCCACTTGCAGCCACCAGTGCACCTCCAAGCACAAAATCGTAAAAAATTGGTGGTGGGTAGGATATTGAAGTGACATGTGCTACAAGGACTAGAATAAGGGATTCCACACGGACCACTGTAGAGATCCATTCCCACAGCTTGGAGGGGCGGGGTCGACAGTGGGGAGTACCCGAACCCTCAAAAAAGAAAGCTAATGGTCCAGAACCCTTGTTTCGAAGATGTTCAAAAAGGCAATTCTCCCACATACTTTCAGAATCAGGGTACTGTGTTAGGAAACCCTATAATGATAATTCAGGAATTCTAGTGAGGAACTACAAGTCATGGGCTCCTCTAGAGGGTCGGAGTACTAGGGAAACCCATCAAGAACCTGGACCCTAAACCCGAAACCCTAAAATCCTAAACCCTACACTCGAAATCCCAAAACCCTTAAACCCCAAATCCCTAAACCCTAAATCCCCAAAACCCAAAGCATCTACGAACTGCTGCGGCCGAGCCGCTCAAACTGAAGCGTTGGTTCGCCATCCACCTGAACGGTGAAGACGCGTAGTGCCTGGTTTTTGTATACGGGCTTTAGGGTTTTAAGGTTTCAGGGTTTTAGGGTTTCAGGGTGTTTTAGGGCTTGGGTAATGACAGGGGGAGGTAAGATGGGGGACAACATTGCTAAAATCCTGAAATCCAAAACCCTAACCTCAAACCCTAAACCCTAAACCCTAAACCTGAAACCCTAAACCCTAAACCTGAAACCCTAAACCCTTAAAAGGGACTTCTTTCCCTG